GAGTCAGGGCCGACGTGACAGCACATAACAACAAACAACAACAACATGGTCTATCTGGCTGAATATTTAAAGAGCGCTTAGACATAATGTGTCCTGTGTTGTTAAGTAGCTCTGGTGGTATAGAGGTCAAAGCATTTGGCTGCTGACCAGAAGGTTGGCAGTTCAAACCCAACAGTAGTTTCATGGGAGGAGATGAGGCACTCAACTTCCATAAAGATTAACAGCCTTGGAAACCCTATGGTGCAGTTCCACTCTGTCCTCTAGGGTCACTGTGAGTCAGAATTGACTCCACGGCAGTGGGTTTGGTTTAGGCTTTGCTTCAGCAAAGATTGACAGCCTTGGAAACCCTGTGGGCCAGTTCCACTCTGTTCTCAAAGGGTCACTGTGAGTCAGATCAACTCCACAGCAGTGAGTTTGGTTTGGGCTTTGCTTCTCTAAAGATTGACAGCCTTGGAAACCCTGTGGTGCAGTTTCACTCTGTCCTCTAGGGGCGCTGTGAGTCAGAATCGACTCAGTGGCAATGGCTATGTTGTTTTTGGTGGAGTGTTCGATAAATGTCAATTAGAACAAGACAGTTGATGATGTTTGCCTTAGTTCTCTAAGGCTACTATAACAGAAACAACACAAGTTGATGGTTTTAACACACATATTTATTTTCTCATAGTTTAGGAGGCCAGAAGTCTAAATTCAGGGTGAAGGCTCTAGGGTAAGGCTTCCTTTCTATGCCAGCTCTGGGGGAAGGTGCTTGTCTCTCCTGAGCTTCTGCTCCTGGGCAAACTTCATATGGTATGACGTGCATCTTCCCTAACTCTGCTTCTCTCACTTGCTTATTTAATCACTTTTATATCACAAAGGAGACTGAGTGAAGACAAATCCTACAGAAACATTACCACATTAACATAACAAAAATACCCCATTTCCAAAGGCAATTATAACCCAAGATATAGAGGTTAAGAATTATAACACAAAGGTTCATGTGGGATACCATCAAAAGGAATAACCTACATGTAATCAGAATTCCAGAATAAGAAGAGACAAATAAAACCACAGAGAAAATTGTTGAAGGTTTCTTGGAAGAGAATTTTCCTGCTATGATGAAAGATAAGAATATATCCATTCAGGAAGTCCAATGAACCCCAAACAGGAGAGACCCCAAAAGAAAATCACCCAGTGCAGTGTAGTAAATTACTTAGTGTGGCTTTTCTACCCATAAGTCTTTGTAAACTCCAAGGTGGGAATTGCTATTAGCAACTGAGGAGATCCTGATTTTAAAGTCGCCCACCTGGGTTATTT